TGTCCATTTCTGCGTTGTTGTCAGTAATAGCAGTAAAAGATTGGTTAATTGTGCTTGAAATTCTGCTTATTACTATTACAGATTTATTGAATATAAATTATTACTGTAACACGTGAAATTTCTCAAAATGAATTAAATCAAGGACAATCAAATCTGGGACAAGAAAACTAATAAACTACACACAGAAGGCACTGGCTAAGATAAAATGACTATTCGAATCTGATAGTGCAAGAATAACAAATAAAAATATCTAAAATAAAATGATAATAGGCAATGACATCTACTGATAAATATAACATAATAAAAGTTCAATGGCTTATTAAATATATTTTAACCCCTGAAAAAAAAAATATAATGATGAGGGGAACTCAAATTGCGAGGTGTTGCTATCTCAATAACTTTGCTTTTTATGATTTTTTTATGAAATGAGTAGAGTGATACTAGGGTAAATATAATATCTTCTTTAAGATTGAACATGTAAACTAACACTTGTTGTTTGTTTTGTCAGGTGCCTTTGTAGCCCTGGATGGACTGGAGTTTCATGTAATGATGTAGTAACACCATGTGACCCAAGTCATGATCCACCATCACTATGTAGTGAAGGTTCAACATGTACTCTGACTATAGAGGGATACTTATGTCATTGTCCTGTTGGGAAAATAGGACAGTACTGTGATCAAGGTAAGGTTATTCAAATTGTGGTGGTCAAGTTTTAAGAAGAATTCATTTTCACTTCACATTTTTGTTCATTTCACAAATTTTGTGGTCACTTCACATGAGTGTCCATTTCACAACTTTATTCCTTCCACATGGTTGTTCACTTCACAAACTAAGTGTTCATTTCACATGCTTGGTGTTCATTTTACAAACTAGATTTGTTCATATTGGTGTTCATTTCATATACTAGGTGTTCATTTCACAAACAAGATCTGTTTATTAGCTCCGCTGTCGAGCGGAGCTTATCATATGAGTGATTGTCCGTCGTCGTCCCTGTCTATGTTTTACTTTTTCGACTTCTTCTTGAAAACTAAAAGCCTGAATGATTTGATACTTAGTGTATATGTATCTTGCGTAGACCTCTCTCAAATTTGTTCATTTCATGATGATATCTTCAATTCTCTAATTTTAGTGAATATTTTTGTTATTGTTGGTAAAAAATGATATTTTCGACTTCTTGTTAAAAATCGTAAGTCCAATTGCTTTGATATTATATATAGGTACTACATGTGGACTTCTTTCAGATTTGTTCATTTTGTAATGATATCTTTAATTCTCTAATTTTGATGATTATTTTTGTCATTTTTGGTGAAAAGTGATATTTTTGAATTCTTGTTGAAAACAGCAAGTCCCATTGCTTTGATAGTATACATATTGTTCATTTTCTAATGATATCTTCTGTTCTTTTATTGAAATGTGCATTGCTAACAGCGGAGCTATCTCAGCCGACTGGCTGCTTGTATGGGTTTTCATTTCACATATGTGGTGCTCATTTAACAAACTAGATTTGTTCATATGGGTGTTCATTTCACAAACTAGTAGTTCATTTAACAAACTAGATTTGTTCATATGGATGTTCATTTCACAAACCAGTAGTTCATTTAACAAACTAGATTTGTTCATATGGGTGTTCATTTAATAAACTAGATTTGTTCATATGGGTATTCATTTCACAAACTAGGTGTTCATTTCACAAACTAGTAGTTCATTTAACAAACTAGGTGTTCATTTCACAAATCAGTAGTTCATTTAACAAACTAGATTTGTTCATATGGGTGTTCATTTAACAAACTAGGTGTTCATTCAACAAACTAGGTGTTCATTCAACAAACTAGGTGTTCATTTAACAAACTAGTAGTTCATTTCACAAACTAGATTTGTTCATATGGGTGTTCATTTTACCATCCAGGTGTTCTGTTCATTATATGGTTGTTACCGGTAATTCATTTCACATTAAGAGTTAATCTTTAATGACCGACACTGTATGTATCACGGTATATGTACTACATACACGTATATAACCAAACTCCTACTATTATTTTTCCTCAGACATAACCATCTCAGATCCATCCTTCCAGACTGATTCTTCATATATGTCGTTCGCCAAAATTGACATCCGACATACCACAAATATTAAAATAGATTTCAAGCCTGACTCGCAAGAGGGATTATTATTCTACGCGGCTCAAAATCTTGGCGTTTACTCCGGAGACTTTATTTCAATCTCTCTCTATTCTGGATTCATTGAATTCCGTTATAAACTTGGATCTGAAGATGCTATAGTTATACGGTCAGCTGATAGAGTAGAAGTTGTGTCAGATAAGTGGTACTTAATAGAAGTTGGTCGAACCAACAGAGATGGATATGTTAGACTGAATGGTGTAGAAACTACAGGTTTGTTATTTATTTGATATTAGCACATGAGTCTGATTAAATACGAAGTATTGTTTTTTATAGTGTGTCCATTTTAATCTGTAATAATTTGAAACCAAGAAATACAGCTTTATTTTACCTCTGATAGTGAATAAAATAGTACATGTTTGAAGTGTTAACCTTTTTACCACCAGTTCCCTTTTTTCATTACAAATTTACAAAATAGTCCTGCATTTTTTTTCAGAAAATTGGGACAATAATTTCCAATTTTTTTTAGTAAAAGCTGAAAATTGACTCAAATTTTGTCTGTTTGCTCCAAAATTAGGGTTCATTTTCAAAAATATTCTAGAAAAAAGAGCAGAAAAAAATTGTGTGAGAAAGTCTGGTGGTGAAAAAGCTTAAGGATGGCTTTATAATTCTGAAAGTGGTTGTCACACTTGAATATTTTCTCTGTTTATACATGTATTAAACACAGCAAGAATGTAACTTGGAATGAAAAATAGAATCACATTATCATTACATCTGTCTGTTTAATCACTATTCAGACTTCTTGCATACTTCACATAATGCGTATATATGGCAAGTCAAATATAACAATGCCTCAGCTGAAACCCTTGGCGACTTTCTTTTATCAAGTTATAATACTAGTTGTGATTTATTCTAGGTACTTCATTATCTGGTTTGATATCTCTGGATATATCTACATTGTTTTATCTTGGTGGTGTATCGCATTATGATATGATACCATACGATGCTATGCAAGGTGAACCATCAGGTTATAAGGGATGTATCAGACAATTGGTTGTCAATAATAGACAATTTGAACTGAATAACCAAGGTAAGAATAATAATATAATTGTTATATACCCTATATATAAAATGTGTTTTTCAAATGCAGTCTCTCACCCCATTGGCTATTATAATCGTTTTTTCATTGCTGAAATGATTCAAATCCCAAATTCTTGTTCCCTCGGCACCTCTAATAAATTCTCTTATCTGAGTGCTGAACTGAAATAGTGATATTATCCAAAAATCATAGAAGATTGGGTAAAAATCGGTTGTTTTTATACTTTTACACTGGTGAAATTTTAAGCAGTTGAGTGCTATATTTCTTCCTTCAAAATTTATGTGCATTATTTTCTCATTTTTATGTATTCTTCTACAATTATATGTAATTCAACCAAATAGACATAATTCCTAATTGGCTTCAAGTCTAGATCAAAAATTATGCGACTTTGATTTGTGAAAGGTGACCAAAATTCAAAGGATTAAAACTAGTTTTTTGAATTCTGGTTATTCACTATATCACTGTTAATAGCAAAGACAGAGACTTGAGAGACCATGTAATAATGCATGCCAATACTATACCATTATTCTCTGGTCTTTATGTGACTAAATTCAGCACACAAGTCAAATTGGTTGAATAATTTAATTGTCTTGTATTACATAATAACACAGAAAACATTTGTTACATGGATTGTCATAGTTGAAGTTCTCACCAGTGTTTGTAAATAAAGCAGAGACTTAAGATTGTTCCTGCAACCATCCTGTTTTTAATACAATACACTCACAGTATTATCAAAAGGTTAACATTATGTATACCAGAGATATTGATGGAGGATCAGTTATTTTAGTTGTTTCAATATTAAAATGCAAGAATCTGGGGATTCTTTTATTGCAGGAGTTGTTGATGGTCAGGATGTTGGTGATTGTGATGGTACTGCATGTGGTTACGGTGTGTGTAAAAATAATGGTCACTGTGCTGCTATTGGATCTGATGACTTCCTGTGTTCTTGTTTTTGGGTAAGTTGCTAATTAACATCACATTATAACATTGTTACAAATGCAGATAACATTATTATACTATGTCAGCACCCTCTATGCTGCTACTTCCCTCCTGGGACTACATAATATACCTTTGTGCTGAGTATTAAGTCACCATAAAAATATTGCTCTATGAAGTTGCACTCTGATATGAAGACAACTTGCCATGTGTAAATTATTACTCCCACAGTACCATCCATGCAGCTCATAGTGCCCTCTGTAATGACATAATGCTTTGCCAAGCACAAACTATTATCCCACGGTAAATCTATAGTTCTTTGACAAATAATGCCCTCTATGTGACAAATAATGCCCTCTATGTGACTAATAATGCCCTCTATGTGACTAATAATGCCCTCTTATGTGACTAGTAATACCCTTTATGTGACTAATAATGCCCTCTATGCGACTAATAATGCCCAATATATAACAGCATAAGCCTTGTCTAGTATATTTTCATTGTTTTATTTTTCTTTTAGCCCATGACTGGTAAAACATGTGAAGACTTTATATTCTGTGTGAATAATTTATGTCAGAATGGAGCCAGCTGTGTTGGTAATGAAGACACCATGTCATATGAATGTGTCTGTCCTGTTGGTTATGATGGTTTCTACTGTAACCAAGGTGAGAACATTGAGTTCAGTTAACATTAAATTTCACCAATCAATTTGCTGGGTTAGTTACCATGGTTATATGTGGATATTTTCTATGAGTTTGAGATGACTTCAGCAACCAATTGTAATTAACCTTACAGGATGAAAACCAAAGCTTGCTATAACCTTAACTTTTTTTTGCCCAAAATGTTGGTGCAGCATGTTGCTTGTTTTCATGTTTTTTTTTGATAATTTTGAACCAAAGTGATTTAATTCAATATTGCCTGCAGCTCCTGATGAAAATAAATGTTGGTTTCATTTTGTGAAAGACAACAAATGTTGACTTTGTTACTGTAGAGGTTAAAGGTCAAAGGTTAACCACCTTAGATACTTGTTACAAGCAAATAAATTTTTCATTTTGGATTTAGTTAAAAAATGTTGAATGTTGCAAAAAAAAAATAAACAATTACATTTATTTCTCACACATAAGATCAATATTCCAGGAATTCAAAAATACTGTCACTTTTTCATGTAAATCCAAGTGCTGTTACTGATTTTCCATTGATATAACTAACTCTATATTTTAAAAACCATGTAATATTTTGATTATTTGAATTTGTTTTCAGTCGTTACTTTCACAAGTGCACGATTCAATGGTAAAGGATATTTATATTATGAATTGATGGATTACAATGACTTGGATAAAACAATAACCACATTGTCATTTAATATAAGTACAATTGATAACAATGGAATGATATTGTGGATGGGACAACCAAATATTGATGACAATACAGATTATTTAGGAATTGGAATTGTAGATGGTAGAGTTAAGCTAAGGTAAGTCTTGGTGTGTAGTTAATACTAGTATCAGTTGTTACTAGTCAATATTATTTAATATTAATGTTAGTTGATATTCTTGTTAGTTGATAGTAGCATTAGTTGATATTGTTAGTTGATAGTAGCATTAGTTGATACAAATGTTAGTTAATAGTATCATGAGATACAAGCATTAGTTGATAACAGTGTTAGTTAATGTTCCTGTTATACTGATAGAAATAAAATAGATAATACCGTAGTGTTCTCACTCATTTCAGTTTTCGTCTTGGTTGGTTATCATATGGAACTCTATATTCAGACATGCCAGTGGTTAATGGACAATGGCATTCTATCATTGTTAACAGGTAAGACAGCAATCTATTCTTAAATTAACTCCACTATAAGGAACAGATAACATGTGTTATGATGGTGGTATTTTCATCCAATACATGTAGTGGTATACACTCTATTAATAAAATATTTAATACATCCTAGTCTTTTTGCTTATCACATTTAGCATTTTCATTTTCATGCTAAAACAGTTTTAATTTCTGTTTTAATTTCAGAGTTGAGACTTCCATCTCGCTGTATGTGGATGGTTCACCAACTCCTGTGTATGACATCGGAGGGGAATTTCATGAACTCAATACTGATGGTATTTATTATATTGGTGAGTAGAATTGTTTGTTAACCTTTTTTTAACTCAGACAGTATGCCGTCGCTCCACTGCGCGTCAGTCGATACTCCACCTGTACTCTCTTTGTGCATACTTTGAGGTATCCTTGTAATAACCTCATATTATAGTATAAAATATATTTCAAAAATGTTCCACTAAGCAGCCAGTAACATATTCTTCTAGTATGTATCTGCACTTTTCTGCCCTGGTACATGTACTAAGGAAACGCATTTTGGGTCAAATCAACTATTTCATAAAAAGTAAATTTTTCAAACATATTTGTTTCTTTTTGCTAGGTGGATTCAGTTACAACTCTGATGTTGGTCAGCTGACTCAGCAATTGTTCCTATCTCCATTCCAAGGCTGTATCAGAGACATTCAGGTGCCAGCTAGTTATGATGAGTTGAACATGATGGAACCACACAGTGGTGCTAATGTACAAAGTTGTGATAACAATTAAGAGATTTTGTCTCGTTTGTAAAAATAGTTAATAGTGTATTTTATGTACTATAGGAAATTCTATCTAAACTGTTAAAATGTAATAAGAATATGTGATGATGCGCTCAACAACCAATAAGGACCTGTGGGTTCAACAAAGGGCAGCCAATAGGAATTGGTGTTTTATTTGTTAAGCCTTTTTCCTCATGTGATTGGCCAATAAGAAACTTTGTTTCATTTCTTACTGCTAATTATGCAAAATAACCAGACAGTATTGTAAAAAATAAAAAAACAAATATTATGTAATTTTTTTTTGTAAATTTAGTGTAAAGCATTACAAAAATTAACTTTTATTCTAACTTTGACCAAGTTTTTATTTAAAATATTTGATTGTTGCTGCAACAAGTGAAAGAATACATTCTTATTCCAAATGATAAATTTTGTACAATAAAATTGATACAGTCAAGACATGTGCATTATACTAACCATTGAAAAAAAATGTTTTTGTTTGTTTTTTCTGTATTTTACCAATTATAAGTTTTAAATATTTGTGCCTTTCATTCAGTATGCCTATGTGCTGGCATATCAAGTGTTTCTTTCATTGTAAAAGTGTAAAAATGCATTTTTATCATCAACACATATCATATCATAAATACACATATTTTGTGCATTTTTATACCTTTCAACCATTTTCATGATATTATTTGAAATACCACTGGTTGGTAACTATGGAAACATAACATATCACAACAACCTACTGAAATTATACAGAGATGACAACTTCCAAATATGTACCGGTATATTTGTAGCTGCTGTAACTTCACAATAATGCTAACAATGAATATGGCATTTTATAAATATTTCATATAAAAACATTCATGTTTTTTTCTGAAACACAGACCTAAAAAAAAGTTTTGTAAACAATTTGATTTCCAAAGTCAATGCAGGTGTGTGTTTGTCATAATTTTCATAAATCATTGCTTTTATTTTTTATATTTTTTGGAGATTTTGACATGAATGAAAAAACATGAATATTGTTCCTGAGCCTTGAAAGTATTAATCATCAACAGACACTATAATTTGCCATGGCAATATTTAAACTGAGACTGCCATTCATTTCACATGCTAGACTTTCTAAATTTTATTTAATTTTAATTGATCGTCAAATACAGTAGTATATACACAGTGGACTTGAACATGCATATCATAGCCCCACCCCTAAACAGAGGTTTGTTTGAAGAACAGTTATTTACTCCAGTAAAAATATTTTGTATATATTTAAAGGCAGATTTGTATTTTTATATCTTTTAATTTGAATTCTGGTATCTGAGATTTTGAAATGTAACTTGTTTTCATATGTATATTCTGAGCTATGAATGTTTGTTCATTGGATACAACCATGTGTCAATAATAAAAGTACTTTTTTTAAGTAAAACTGTCTGAAGCGTTTTATTATTTAATATTATTAAAGGAAACCTCAAGCCAAACAACCTAATGACCCCTCAAGAAAATGCTCCACAAATGTAGGAGAATGCAATTTACAGTATTTTTTTTATATATATCACTTTTCATTCTCTAGATATTCAGCTTTTTATCAGGATTATGTAGTCGTTTTCTCAATTTCTAACAGATTCTATGATGTAATAATTTACCCACAATCCTTTGCTCGAAAATCAAGATGGCTGACTACATAATACTGATGAAAAGTGATATAAAAAAAAATGTAAATTGCATTCTCCTACATTTGTGGAGCTTTTTCTTGAGGGGTCATTATGTTGTTTGGCTTGATGCAATCTGATTACAATCTGATGTAGTATACGGGCTTTAATTATTTTGGCTATAAACTTATTTTATTTTTATTACTTTTGTTATTAATGCCTTTTTTATTATTTTACTTTGATTTCGTGATTTTTTTTTAATTCCGCCCTATATACATCTGATCCGACGCCTATGTAAGTCCTGTTCAAATCTCGCATAAGTAACAGCCAATCACAGCCCCCTTTTATACAGGCTGTCGGTTGCTTACTTTTCAGTGTAGCAATGCTCTACGGGCAATCTTTCTGTACATTATATTTTACCCACTTGAATAAACCATTAATAGAAAATTGCTAGTATATTTTTATTTACAAAAGAAATTCCACAGCATTTTACAATTTTTGTCATTACATTGAATATTTTGTTCACTTCCAACAAATGTGTACACTTCCTGATCAATACATCTTCGCCAGCCAAGGTTCGTTTATTCAGTCATCGCAGCGGCTTCAATTTTACATCAAACACTGAGCATAATTATCTAGAATGGAAGCAAAAAAATAAGTAAATCGTAATGATTAGAACACTGTAAACAGCTATAGTGAACAATGCAAACTGATTTTAAATTGTATAACTGTCACCGGCATCGACGCAGAAAATTGGGGCAAAAAAAATATTTCCTGATCGATGTGTTCCAAATAAAAAATATTTTATTCCAGTCCAAATCAGCTCAATTACTTTAATAAAGAGTTATTGTGTAATGTACAAAATGTTAATACATTTTGATGAATATTTACAGCTACGGCTTCAATACCGTAGAAGATTTTGGCCCGATCGTCAACAAAACATCACCCGTCTCCAGGGCAAGCGACTGGAAAAGGACACCAGTGTTCGGTCGAACTGGTGGAAACAAAATCTTCACTCCCAGAATAACTACGCAAAATAACGATCTAAACTCAAACCACAATATAAACATTAAAAAATGACTTTCGTTGCATTTGACAATGATAAACTTACCGAAAAGCCGTGTTTTTCTCGGTCGCTAACGTCGGTAGAACCCGCCATTTTATTTGAGTGTGTTTGCCACCTGACTCTGCCCGATGACGTCATCATGTGCGCTATAGGTCTAAGGAGGTCTGTGATTCGTTGACTAAAATCGTCGATAGTGGGTCTCGTTGAAATCTCGTTACATAGGCATCGGGTCAGATATATGTAGGGCGGAATTAAAAAAAAAAAAATCGAAGTAAAATAATAAAATAAAAAGGCATTAATAACAAAAGTAATAACAAAATATAATTAAAATAAGTTTATAGCCAAAATAATTAAAGCCTGTACACTACATCAGATTTTAATCAGATAATGGGCACATGTCTAGGCCCTGTTATCATGCAATAATTGACACATATGTCTAAGCCCTGTTATGCAATAATTGACACATATGTCTAAGCCCTGATATCATGCAATAATTGA